TATATATATATATATATATATATTGGCCCTACTTTTTTATGTCACACTTGTTGGGTGTCCACATGAATGATTCAGGATGATCTACTATTCATTCGTAGTGTCCCACAACTTAAGACACTTGTTTGACACTCCTTGGCACGTATTCGGGGCACGAGCTAGGGTTCCTGATGATTCAACCTTGCCTGGGAGAATCCACCATTGGACGGGCTTATTTAGGATATGGGAAGTGTGAGAGGTCTTTTTTAATGTTTAAAGCCTCACTCCACCTATTTGGAATCTATTGTGGTCAAAGGAATCCGTTGAGCCTTCTCGTGGGCATTTTAAAAAACATCAAGGTATAGAACGTCATAACTACGTGACATTTTGGGGAACCCATTGGCACCAAAATCCTTAGATGGAGATCCATAAACATGCTTATTTTTGGAGTTATGGGACTATATTTTGGTCATATTTAGTCTCCCATAGCTTATGGAAGAAAAAAAATCCTTTGCTGAACGTTTCCGGTGAAAATTGGATTTTTGGGGCTAGACCAGTGCCTAGGCCCCAGTCTGGGCGTCTAGGTGCCCAGAAGAGCCCACACAAGGCTTAAAACCGAGACGACGGACAGTAGGCGCCAACTCTCTGCCGCCTAGGCGCCAAGTCCAATGCCTAGGCTCCAACCCTCTCAAAAGTAGATGCTTAGGACTGTCCGACATGCGCAATTTTCAAATCGAGGATCTAGAAAGTAAGTGTCAAATCCAGCGCCGATCGAGATTCAAAAATAGTGAGCTCTAAACAGAGCCACCATGAATCAGGTGCCAGACCCAGTGTCCTAGCACCAGGGTGCTAGACCCAGTGTCTCGACACCACGGTCGCGACGTCAACACGCCAGGCCACTTTATGCCCAATTTCATCCAGTGATTTGCATGATTTTAACCCCAACAACCTATCCTAGGAAGCCAAAAGGTGGATTTTCTTGGCTAATGTCTGGATTTGCCTTGAGTATGCAAAAAAGGGGTTGATTATACCTCTTTTGGAAGCTTCTAAGATAGGGTGGCAAGGTTTTTTGTGTCAAAATAGAGGGAAAATTTGTGGAGCTAGCTAATTTTTGGCTTAGACTCCCTAAAGATTCTAGGTTTGGGATATTTTTGGAAAAAAAGAGAGAGCTTCTTCTTCTTTGGGGGAGAGTTCTTCTTGAGCTAATATTCTTCCTTGGAGTTAGGGAAGACTCTTGAGATGAGGAACCTGAGAGAAATGTAAAAAGAAGGTTTGGTTTCTTGCAGCCCCTTTTTTTTCCAAAAAAATCCCTCCTCCTTCTTCATCTTCTTCCTCATGCTCCACTACTTTCCTTGACTGCGTGATGAGATTTTATTGAGGAGGAGATGTGTTAACAAAGAAGTGAAGCATCAACTCTCTTACAGTGAAGGAGAGCTTCTTCACACTTTGGGGAAGGATTGTCGGAACTTCGTCAGAACTTTGTTGAAGCTTGGAACTACGCCGGAATCATGTCGGACTCTTCATCTAGAGGAGAGCTTCGTCATTCTCTAGATAAGAAGCGGGGAAAATCTCACAGGGGCTTTGCTGAAACTTTGCTAGAACTTCGTTGGAGCACAGACAATCCCAGAGAATGGATCCTCAACCTTTGCGGTGGTAAGAAATCTTGTAAACTCTTGCAATTTCCTTTCTTAGAGCCCCTAGGTCTAGATGTTAGTCAAACTAGGTTAGGGGTTTGTTGTGCTTATAGGAAGACCCATAGGATTAGGAGCTTTGCGCTTCCCCTAACAAAAGCTATATCTTTTTTTCAGGCAAAAAATTTTGAAAAATGAGGTTGTAATAATTTCGTCGTTTGTATCGGTGGTTTTATCCGGATGGATGCTTGAAACCTACCGACCAAGAAGACGAATTAGTTCCTTTGATCTTTGCCTCATTGGTCATCGAGAATCCTTCTAGTGAGGAATTCCCTACCTTGTGTTGTGCAAACGGAGGTGAGCTTCTTGTTGCTTTATGCAATAAGACATTAATAAACCTCTCCATCGCTAGCCTACCCTTGGTGCCCATGAGAGCATTAGGATGAGCGTGGATTCGTCGTCAAGCACAACCAGATCTCTACTTCGTGCATGTATTTGCATTCACTTTTTTTATGTTTGGCATGAATTTTAAATTGCATAAAAAATATCTTATTTTGGATGCGTTGTTGATCGGTCACTCACTTGATCAATATGATCAACACATCTGTCTTTCAATTTGATCATCGAATGCTACCGGTCGATCACATCAAATCAATTATTTTTGTCAATTGGCCTCCCACGTTGGACCGACCGACGCCCTTTATTGGTTCGACTGATTGTTCACCATCGATCCAATCAGTTCGACCGACCCCACTTTGTCAATCAACCTCCCACGTCGACTTGATCGATCACTTTTTTTGACACGTTTGATCAACTGCCATTGGTCTAGACAGCTTGATTGACATCTGCAGTCGGCTCAATCGATTGACCGCCACCAGCCTGATCAACTTGACCAACACATCTTCATCGATTGGCCACCCTGACCTGATCGATCATTCTTTAGTCGATCAACCACCTACGCCAGTTTGATTAACCACTTTCGTTAGCTCGATCGATCGAACACCACCGGTCTGATCCTTTTGACTGACCCTTCCACGTCAATCGGCCGCCCATACTGGTTCTATCGACCACTTTGGTTAGCTCGACCAATTGACCGTCATCGATCTAATCATTTCGACCACCCCTTTCCCATCGATTAGCCGCCTACACTGTCTCGATCAAATTTTTTTGTTGGTTTGATCGATCTCCCTCCATCGGTCGGATCGACCCGATAAACTTCATTTGAATGTTGCATGATTGCGTGCTCATTTCATATCACTTGCACAAACACATTCACTCTTGCAACCCTTGGTGCACTTGCGAGCACATGCTCCCATATACTTATGGTAGGTCTATGCCCTACTTGGGCACAACAATTGGTGTCCATTCCTTGACATTCTCATATTTATCCATACATCACATCCTGTATGTTTGCAATTACATTTGTGCACTTCTATGTGTTTTCTTTCATATCATCTTGCATGATTATGAATTGTATGTTTGATATCATATGTATTTAAATTTGTGTTCTCACGCACTTGTCTCACACATTCACACATCATGCGGGTGGTTGGCTTGCCACCAAGCCCATCCAATGTGTAGTACTCTTCAGCAAGAATTGTACAATTTTCACTTCCTATGGCACCACTCATGACTACCATAAGCAACCTTTCGGAGTCACTACCTTTTCGAAATAGTCACTGTC